CTTTCCCTAAAATAAATAAAAGTAGTAATTGCTCTCCCCACTGTGTAGCCTAATCTAATCTACTTTTCTCTAAGCGCGGCTCTGCAGCAGGCCACACCCCTGTCAGTCAGGTTCTAGTTCCCACCGCCATCGCTTTCGTACTAAGGGATGGTAACACCAGATGGTTTGACTGCGCAGCTGGAGGGGGACACTCCTGTCTGCTCTAGCCCTGTGCTGAAGGTGAGGGCTGTGAGCGGGAGCCTGAGGGCAGCATGTAGCGGGAGCCTGAGGGCAGCATGTGGGGGACAATGAGAACGCAAACACACAGGGGTAACCAAACTACCTCGACCACATCTGTGGTCTTGAATTCTGGCCCCCAAACCTTTTCACAGCTTCACGGTCAGCCATCAAAGTCCTCGGTGTCCTCAACCTCCGTTTCCTGCTTCTCCTGAGGCCACTCACGTGGCGGCTGGGCTTCTGCCCTCGTGTGCCAAGGTGGGTGGGCTCCGTGCTGCTCAGGACAATCATCATTCCTGTCTCGGGTCCTCAGCTCCTTCCAAGTCATGCCATCCAACATGACTTCCTGCTACCCATCCTTCTTACAGTCATCAACAGTTCTCAGCCCCTCTACCCCATTCCTGGAAGCCACTCTAGCGCCTCAATCTCTCTTCCATCGCCATCCCTGCCATCATTCTTAGCGATTCGAATACTCTGGGCTCTTGTTTACTTGGCCTCATCATTTTCAGTGCGTTTTGTCCTTTGCTTTCTGGGTCATATTATGAGCCTTGTCATTACTATAAAACTGTACGTGTTTAGTAAGTATCACTCTTGCTACTTCCTATCATTTTAGTTCCTGACCTTTAGTATCTTGATTCTATCAATTCTTCATTCCCCTTATAACCTACCTTAGATTCGGCCAATCAATCAATCACTCTCTTAATAGATACCTTCAACAAACTTGCTTTTCTCCCTCCTTCCATTGTACTCCCTTGGCAAAACCCCATCACTGGTTAAATCTAACTTTCTGCTCTTCCTCACCCGTACCAAGCAGGTGAATGTGGCTGGGAAAAAACACACAGTCACACAGATTAGTCTCACTTTAAATCAATAATATAAACCTCAAGTGGATCCCTGAGCAACCCTGCTCTACTGCCCTAGTCAATTCACTCTCTTCCTTCTCACTCAGCTAATGACCTTGCTTCTTATTTTACTGGAAAATAGAAGCAATAAGAAGAAACCATCTGTATGTTCCCATCACAAAATTGCCAAACCTACTGCATCTGTAGCTATTTACGCTTTTCTCTTTCCTTTGACGGATGAATTGCCCACCTCATCTAAGTCCAATTCTGCAGTGGAATCTATTCCCTCGAGAAGCTGACTGCTTCAATCAATTATCAATCAGCATAAAACAAGCTGTGATGACTTCCTCAATCCTGCATTCCATGCCAGCTACTACCCCATTTCTCTATTCCTCTTCAGAACAAAATCTCTTTCAAAATTTCACTACAGGGCTTCCCTGGTGGTGCAGTGGTTAAGAATCTGCCTGCCAATGCAGGGGACACAGGTTCGAGCCCTTGTCCGGGAAGACCCCACATGCCACAGAGCAACTAAGCCCGTGCGCCACAACTACTGAGCCTGCACTCTAGAGCCTGCGTGCCGCAACTACTGAGCCCGCGTGCCACAACTACTAAAGCCCGCGTGCCTAAAGCCCGTGCTCCGCAACAAGAGAAGCCACCGCAATGAGAAGCCTGTGCACCACGAAGAAGAGTAGCCCCCTGCTCACTGCAACTAGAGAAAGCTCGCGCAGCAGCAAAGACCCAAAGCAGCCAAAAATAAATAACTTAAATTAATTAATTAAAAAAAAATTTCACTACGTTTCCCATCCTCTAGTTACAGTCTCTCTTGAACCCACTGCAATCAGACATTCATTCCTGCCACTTCACCTACAACTCTTTCATTAAGGTGCCTGATCATCTCCATGTTACTAAATCCAGTTGGCCATTTCTCAGTCCTTCCTTGATTCAGCAACAGCATAGGGCAGTTGGTGACTTCCTCCTCCTCGAGACAGTTTCGTCACTTGGCTTCCAGGACTCCTCTCAGCTTCCGTCCTACCTCACTGGCACTTTCTCCAGTCTCTCTTGCCAAATCCATTTCCTCTTCCCAGCCTGTAAACACTGGGACCTCAGGGCACGGTTCCTGACCTTTCCTCTAGGCTAGATCTATCCAGACTTACACTGAGCTGTCTACCTGCTATTTCTGGATGTTTAACTGGCTCAACGTGTCTTTTATTCTTCTGCTTTCTAAGCCTTTGCAGGCAGGGGCTGATTTGGAACCCAATCTACGTATTAGTGGGTGGTGGTCTGTACCTGGTAGGTCTCGATGGGGCGGTTTTCCATGTTGAGATCCCACACTTTGACCGTCAGATAGTCTCTGGTCATGATATACCTCCCACTGTGGCTGAACTTCACGTCCGAAATCGAAGAGATGATTTCAGAGAAAAACGACCTGTTGCTTGGATCTTCCGGCTCTTCAAAAACTGCAGAACAAAAGCAAAACAAAACAAATTTAGTACATCCTTATCAGCTGATGCTAACGTGTTTGGGCCAGCTAGAAAGCCAACAGTCTAACCTGGAGTAGGGCTGGAATCTATAGAATATAAGTTGGTAACAGAACTGTCAGCTCCCTGGCAGAACAAGCTGTCACTGGTTTCCATATTGTGTTTCTCATGGAAGGACTCCCATGGGACTTGTCACATCCACAGATCTGGCACTGATGGTTCACAAGCTCCAGGTCTATGTATCTGACTCTTTCACTTTTCCCCATGGTTCCTGGGCGTCACTGTATATACTATAACCTGTAGTCATCTCACACACTTAAAAATTTTGTTTATGCCTTTTTTTGAGATATAATTCACATACCATAAAATTTACTCATCTAAATTTTATAGTTTGGTGGGTTTTTTTTTTAAGTATAATCATGCAACCATAAACAAAGTCTAAATTTAGGACATTTTCATTACCTCATCCCCTGTAAAAAACCCAAAACAACTCCATTCCCATTAGCGGTTACTCCCCATTACCTACTCCTGCAGCCCTAGGCAACCACTAATCTACTTTCTTGTTTTGTGAAACTGCCTATTCTAGAAATGTCGCACAAATGGAATCGTTCTCCCTCCCTCCCTCCCTCCCTCCCTCCCTCCCTCTCTCTCTCTCT